GGGGGCTGGGGACTCTAGAGGCTGGGGACCACAGATGGCGGGTTTGGGGACCCCGGGGAGTGATGGGGGGCTGGGGACTCTAGAGGCTGGGGACCACAGATGGCGGGTTTGGGGACCCCGGGGAGTGATGGGGGGCTGGGGACTCTAGAGGCTGAGGACCCCCAGATGGTGGTTGGGGACCCCGGGGGGCTGGGGACCCCAGATGGGGGGTTGGGGACCCCAGATGGGGGGACGGGGACCCTGGATGGGCAGATGGGGGCCTGGGGACCCCGGGGGGATGGGGGCTTGGGGATCCGGCCCCCCCTTCTCTCCCTCCTTTCCCCACGTTGCATCAGGTTCTTTTCATGTGGCCGCGGCTGGCCGGACTCCGCGAGTCAGTGACCGGAGCCGGTCCCATGACTCAGGCCGGGGCGGGGGGGACACCCGCCCAGGGGGATAAATAGGCGCCCAGGGGACCTGCCAGGCTCAGAATAACGGGACCGAGGATCTGACAAAGACGGGCCAGGACCCCTCGCACGTCCCCCCGCACTGACCTGCCCGCCCCCGGACTGTCTGCTGGAGCATTGCTACGGTCGGACTCCTGGGTTCCCTCCCCGGCTCTGGGAGAGGAGCGAGGGCTAGTGGTTAGAGCAGGAGTGGTTGGGGCTCGGACCCGGCACTGCCTGCCAGCCCTCAGCATGTGGGGTGGCTCGACCCCTGTCCCGGCAGAGTCCTGGCTGCTGCTGGCTGCCCTGATGTGGGGGACCCGGCCCCCCGCGCCCTCCCAGGCCGCCCCCCTGCAGAACTCCAGCCCCCTGTACCAGTTTGACGGGCAGGTTCGGCTCCGACACCTGTACACGGCCAACGCCCACACGCAGCTGTACCTGGAGATCACCCCGCAGGGCGAGGTGCGCGGGGCCCCCGACCAGACTCCCTACAGTAAGTACCGGCGGGGTGATGGTGATGGGGGGGGGTGGCGAGCCAGGACTCCTGGGTTCTCTCCCTGGCTCTGGGAGGGGAGTGGGGTCTAGTGGTTAGAGCAGGGGGGGCTGGGAGCCAGGACTCCTGGGTTCTTTCCCCGGCTCTGGGAGCGGAGTGGGGTCCAGTGGTTAGAGCAGGGGGGGCTGGGAGCCAGGACTCCTGGGTTGTCTCCCCGGCTCTGGAAGGGGAGTGGAGGGGGAGCTGGGAGCTAGGACTCCTGGGTTCTCTCCCCGGCTCTGGGAGGGGAGCGGGGTCTAGTGGTTAGAGCAGAGGAGCGGGTCTGGGAGCCCGGATGCCTGGGTTCCCTTGCTGACTTCGCTCTGCCTCCGGTGCTGCAGGTCTGATGGAGATTAAGGCGGTGAAGCCTGGCGTGATCCGGATTCAGGCAATGAAAACGCTCCTGTTCCTGTGCATGGATCCCAGTGGGCATCTGCATGGGGCGGTGAGTGGAAACCC